AATTTTTAAAATAAATAAATAGAAATCTTGCGTTAATGAGCTTAATTAAGGGGATAATTAGCCTAAACATTGTATTGCTGGCAACTAGAGTATTCTCATACATGGTACAATCAATTACTTGAAATAAGCTAATTAACTGAAATAAAACCTATCGAAATTAATTCGGATACCATACGACTGTGTGCATTCGAAACGTCCTCAACCATATTGATTTTCCTCCAGATTCATGGTGGCGCAACGTAAAGGGATGGAATGACGTCTTTTGGCGAGTTCGGCTGGTTGTTCTACCGAGCAGCAGGAGTAGATTAATGGCATCACCAGTTCAAAAGAGAGTAATCAACTAATCACAGTAGGCGAGTGACCCAAACAACTTCTCTACTCTGACCACTTGAACAGCATGGACGTAGCCAGGAAGGGGCATGGATGGGCACGACCCCCAGTTAACCTGGTGCCCCTCCCCAGAAAATTACAGTGTTTAGCCGATTTGCAAAAAGAAATAAAAAGCTGAAGCTAATTTAATTGGATGTAGTGTACCCACTGAAAGTCTAGATCAGGCATAGCCAACATACGGCCCGCTTAATGAATTTATGCGGCCCGCGATTAATCTTTGAATATTGGACTTAACTTGTTCAAATGGATCCGCGATAATTCCTTATATCCTCACAATGTGAAGTGATAGAAAAGTTTAGAAATTTTGACCCCTAAAAAAAAGGTCAACGGCCTTCTGCGCCCAATGTGAAAAGTGTATCTGTAATCTTTATGTACAGTTTAGTCTCTACGGGTTAAGGCATTGCTAGAGTTTGATATTAATGTTACGAAAACGAATGATTAAAGGAAGTTTCATATTATAGCCTATGTGTGTTAAGTTATTGTCGATTCCTACGGAAATTTCATTTTAATGAACAATAATTTGAAATAATTCAATTTTGTGTCAGGCTGGCCTCTACTAGGCCCCCCATAACAAAACTCTGGCTACGTCAATGTTGAACAGGCTGTTCTATGAGTACTCAAGAGCAACCAGCTGAATTCACCATTTAGGTAATATTTGCTCTATGGTGAAGATGGTCAAACTCCGATAAATAAAGTTAATTCGAAAGAATAGAAATGTAAATTCTCTACTAATTAGATAAAATAAAAATTTGAACTTTTAAATAGTTTTTGGCTCAATTTTTGGCTTCTTCCGTTCAGTGGGCATTAACACAAATTTGTATATAGCCTATTATTTTGAAAATATGTCTACACTTTTTTATGTAGACATATTTTCAAATTGGTATCTCACTTCTCAACATTTTTACCACTAATTACTATGTAACTTTTAAAGATTGTGAGTTTTGACAACCCGCTAAAAATAAATTGACAAATTGAAATTTAATAAAGATCTTTATAAAAATCTTCAGGCTATAAAATACCGAGTGAATATTTGGCATGTATTCCGAAGTGAAATCTTTCTTTAATCTCCTCAAATTTCAAATTTAAATTCTTAAAATATAAGTAATTTTCAAATATAACGATTTATAATATATTCTCGTCTTATATTACGAGAAAACTCTAAAATTTACTAATTTAACTAAATTAGCAATTTGTTTCCGAGTTAACACATTTCTTTGCGTTAATTTAATTTATTTTCTATTGACTTTTATATTAACATAAATATTTTCATTTCATATTTTAAAATTTTATAATTGAAAATATTAAAGACAAAAATACAATTGTTTTATTAAATTCATCATTCTATTTCTCTCTTAATAGTGCTATTAACTACTGTATAAATGTATTTAATTCAGTTTTTAAATTATATTTAATGTTATCTAAAATGAGTGTGCTGCAGATCACTTTAGTGGAATTATTAACACTTAACCTTTACGTAAAAGGTTAATATTTTAGCATAACGATAATTATTTCACTTGGATTATTTTCATCAGAGATTTATTATGCTTAAATGATTTATTCAGTTCGATTCAGTTAATTTTACTATTAAATAAACACTAAAAAATAACTGTTATTTCTACTGTTAAATTGATTCTTTTTATTGTTTAAGCAGTAAAAATGTACAATTGTATCGAAATAAAAATAAACAAACATGAAATTGTATATTTCTATATTTTTATAGATTTAAAAATAATACAGAGATAAATATTTTTTTCTCATTTTTTCTCAAATTTCCAGATACTCTGTAGCTGTTTTATTGAACTCTTTAGCCATTATTAGAAGTAAAATGAAATATTAAATAAATAAAAGGAGCTTGGCATGTGTATTTAAATAACTTATCATCATTTTTGATTATTTAAATCAAGAATAATTGTTTTTTTTTTGTAACCGACTATTAATTGTTTACACTATTATAATTAGTTTTATTTATAATGGGTCGAAATATTTGATTTATTATTAATTACAGTGTCTCTGAAAGAATTGTCATAATAAGGAATCTATATTCTTTAATTAAGATAAAAATCTTTATGTAATTAATAGGCTATATGCAGATATTTAGCATAAATTTTGGGATATATTCGTTCTTTTTAATTTCCTCAAATTTAAATACATAAAATATAAGCATTTATCAACGATAATGATTTATGCTATCATATAACACTACTCTTGTTTATGTTTATTTTAAGGGGGAAAAATACTTAAAATTTACTAATTTATTGAAATTCGAATACAAAAATCGATGTTTTGATTTGTTTTTCTTACTCATAATATTCTACTCAATGCATTAAATTATTATAAAGTTATTAAATATTTTATTCATTATATCTTCATTCATTATTTTTTACAAGAAAAAAAACAACATGTGTATTAATACTTTACATTGCCTTTATTTAAAAGTAGTTTTCTTAATTAATTAATTAACATAAAAGATAATATTTAACTAATAAAATTTTTAAGTTATATAAAATTATTTTACATTTAATATAAATTAATTTTATATATTTTGAAGTTCTTGACAATATATTTTTTAATAATCCATCTTAGTTAATGCTTTTCATTGCTGATTTTTTAATTATATTAAAGGAAAAAATTACCATATAAACTTTTTAAATTACGATCCCTTCGCGGATGTGTATATATTTTATAAATAAAATATTCTTTATAACATTTTTTTACTGTTATTTTTAACATTTCCCCTCTCTAACTTTAATTTTATAGGAATTAAAATTCACGATTAAATATATTTTATTCTATAAAATATATTTAACACAGTAGTTAATAATATTTTTTCTATGGAAGAATAAGAAGAAAATCTAATTATTTAGTTTTTTCTAATCATATTTACATAATTTATATTTAATTGTGCTTAATAAAAAATTAATAATTATTTATAATTTGTTTTATTAATTCATTAACTCTGCAAATCCAAATATAAGATGATGCGTGTCTAGCCTGTATTGCTTACGCATATAGGCCTACTATAATAACAAGAATGTACTAATGCATTCTTGTTATTGATTCGAGATAGTTCAGAGCTTTAAATTTATATTTTTAAAATAAGAAAATATTGTATAAATTATGTGTTTAAACACAAGATTTTAAGAAAAAGAGAAAAGATTTTTGCGTTATTCATTTTCAGTTTTTATTTGGTTTAATGAGTTTTTACATATTTAAAAATGCTTAAATGTTATATCTTAATTTTTAACAATAAAAATTTATTTTTTATATACTAAAATAATACAGAAATATGTCAATTTTCATTAGGATGCACTCAGAAGAGATAAATTTAATGTACTGTACATTAAATTCATTATTTATTATTTTTAATACTTAAAAATCAACCTGTTCTATTTATAATACACCTGTATAGTTAAAAAATATATCTAATAATTAACTAAATTTTCGATACTAATTAATTAATTATAATTAATCACATTTGACACTTACGTTTTAATGAAGTTAAATAAGAACTTAATTATTTAGAACAACTTCGGTAAATAATAACTGTCTAGAGAATTATATAATCCTGAATTTCAATAATATTCTCATTCCGAATAGAAATTAAACAATATTTAATAATATTTATATATTTAATTTTTTGTAGCATTTACATTTTTACAATAATTATAGACTGAAACGAAATTGTGTTATCGATTAACGCATCCGATCGAATTTTAAACATCAGTTTATGCTGTACAGAAGTTTTTTCCTCGTCGTTCTAAATGCACCGGGTTCGATTTAATTTTTAATCAAGATTTTTTTATGGCATAAAAAGTTCTTGATTAAATAATAAGCAGAATTTAAATAAAAATCCAATTAAATTTTATATAGTTTATTTGTTAATGAATGTTTAAAATTAAGAATGGAAATTAACTTAGAGAGATGATAATTTCGATTGTCTAAATTATTTAATATGTTATCTAAACTGATTTATTATACGTTACATCAACAAACAGGTTACTAATAGGTTCATTTCTGAGAAGTTTTAATAATGATAATTAAATACTGTATAATCATTTAAATCCTAGAAATGATAATGTATAATTTAATAGATATTTTAAAAATTTATTTAGTTTTTTCTTCTATGCTTAAATTCTATATAATTTTAAATTTAAATTATTCTTATTGTTATCTCTCTTATCTTGTAATCTGTGTATTATATATTAAGTTCTTTTATACCGTATATATTATATACGTATGGTATAAAAGAAATGAATCAAATTCGTTTAAGATGTATATATTAAATGAAAAATTAAACTTAAGTAGAACTAAAAATAAACTGACGAGCGTATATAATTACTACAAATTATAATTTAAAAAATAAATTTAAAATATACAGCGATTATATTTATATACAGAGTATGTATTTAGTTAAAAATTCTAAATTAATTTAGATGGGGATATTTGAGAATAGAGATTTTTCATCCTTGCTCTAATTGTTCTGTAAGGGGACAATGCAGTAGACAGTGTGATCCCTACACGTTGTGAATGACTCACAACTGTCCGGTATAGGGACGCTTTTGTTCCTACTTTTCTGAACGGGATGAAGACCGGACCCCTGGCTGATTTCTCACACAGTACTATTGACCTATTGTAGTCAATGTTGGTAGCTTTGAACTGCTCTGCCGGTTCGGCTTCTCTGTAAAACTCGGATCACAAATGATGCTGGAGATGTAACATCAAACCATAATTTCTCGTATACATATCAGGTAAGTTTATTTATATTTAGTTTATCTTATTTACTATATTTCCATCGTTATTGTTGCAATTTATGATTGTTTTACGTTCTTTTTGTGCATTCTAAAGAAGAAAATTCTATATGTTGTTCGAGATATGCTCAATCTTGTTAGAAAAGAAAACAATTATAGTACAAATTGTTTGGATGTTGTTATGTACTCTGATTGATTTTATCTTCGGATCATGTCCAGGACGACTTTTGTTGGCTTAACTGCTACATATAATGTACGTACTTCAGAAATATTCTTCGAGAAAAGGCGTAAAACTCTTCAGTGTACAGTTTTCTTTCTAGACGATTCTCAAAAAACGTTTGAGATTGAGGNTTATTTTTTCCAGTTGGTTTTTATGCATGTGTTTAAATCCATTCCTTACGCTTAACTGTGACGTAAAAAAATAATGCATCAGAGATTTTTTTTAAATATTGGAATGGCTAAAGGAACATTGCAGCTAAGATTGTTTTATGCAAATGTTATGTATGTGTCAAATTTTACTTTTTTAACATGTACATAATTTTTCTTGTGATAGATCCACACAGTCTGAACATATATCTGTATTTATACAGTATATATATATATATATATATATATATATATATATATACTTACATATATACAGAGTTTGTACAGTTTTAATGTCTTGGAAATCGTTCTAATCTTTAAGGAAAACAAAAACCGTCGAGAAAAATATTAAAAAATATATTGTGAATGCTTAAAAAAACACACAAAAAAGAAAGTTTTGTTTGCTCTTGTCAGAATTCTGCTCTTATTGTTACAATGGTAAATTGCAAGTTTTAATATTGTTTCTTGTTTTATGTTTATCAAGTGCCTATCAGTCGAACCAGATGTCAAAATATAATATAAGATATATATAACATATATATATTGTGTGTAAGAGGCGCTGAACACGTGGAGTGGCTTTGTGCCATACTTGTTACGGTCATTGAGTACTCAGGGAGATTGAACAAAAACCAAAATATGACACCAAAAAATTAAAAAAATATACATTCAAAAATCGATTTTTTAGGATGATTAATTTGCATAAATCACGAAAATTTGACAAGACAGAAGAGCACAGCTATTCATATTTTAAATTATAGAATAGTCCAGCTGCATTATTTTGTGTCGCGCTGCGTAAAACTATCGAACTGCTAAAATAGATTAAAATTCCATCTTCTGACTAAGAACACGTCACCAAAGTTGCGTGGGACCCCATTCTATTAAAACTATAATCAAATTTTCTTAGTATTATTCGATTAATTCCTGAATTGGTAGCTAATGGATGATTCGAGTATTACAATGAACGATGTAGTCACGTCAAATTTCGTTTTTACACTAGAGTAGAATATCTACTGTCGAGGGAAATAAGGAAAATATGTTTCAGATACATCCTCAATGACTTGGAGACTTGTAATATGCTCAACTTTTCCCGTTTAATCTTTGAAAAGTATAGAAAAAATAAGTAATTTTAGTAAACAAAAATTTGGCACTGATTTCGTTAATTACATTATATATACTATCGTATGTATATACATATTTTTTAATAAATAAAGGTTGAAATAACAATTTAGGAACAGTTTTGCCGTGCAGATGATTTTTCTTTTTTTTTTTTTTTTTGTCGGAGGATAGGTGATGCGTGTGTGCAATAAATTATGTGTCAAGACCATATGCAAATTTCTCAGTATGTACAATATAATATAGAGGTAGAGCGGTGGGAATGTTGCCGATGCGTTAGAGAGAATTGGTCACGATCCAGTCTTGGTGTCACAAATTGACGCCATCATCTAGTCTGAACTGTTAGTGGAATGGCTATTCATCTTCCCTTGTCATCGTGAGGGACAGGATGCAAATCTCTCGCTGGCTTCTGTTTTGTATATCATTAGTCGTCGTTTAGCTTATGTTACCGCTGTAGCTACTTTTCTCTTTAATTCAAAATTTATGCCACGGGAACTTGGTGACTAATTTTTCGTGACGTGTGGCAGAACTAACATAAATCATATTATATTAATTTCGATTTTTATTTAACATATTGATAATTAAAATATTTCGTAAAATATAAAATTTAATCATTTATGCCTTCATTTATAGTGAGGATTTATAAGTATTAAGCCAAGTGCATTTGGAATTGATTTTGAGTCGTTTTATTCTACAAACTCCGATTTAAGGATTGTAACAAGGAAATTTTATTACTGATCTGCTAAAATAGATTAATTAAAATTCTAGTTACATAATAGCCTAATTTAAAATATCATTAAGCTATGACTTTCTTTAAAATCACATAATCTAACTCATTCTTTATGCTTTTATTTACATAAAACATTAAATAACCGCTTTATATTCCATATTCAAATCGATTTTATCCAAAATTTTCATTACTTCTTATTTTATCTAAATTTTTAAAAAAGTGCGTGTGTTTGTGTTGTACATTCAGAAGCGTTAATGATGGCAGTCTGCAGCTCTGGAAGGTCTGGGTTCGAGTTCAGCTCAGAAAACACGTTTCGTGAACGTTTCGTGGATATGTCGGCCAGCGCTCTCAATGTGGGCTGGCCGAACTCATAACGGATATGATTAAAAAGGTCCTCTCAGAACAGTCAAAAAAGACCATTATATTTAAAAGACCATTTAATTGAAATCGTTAATTCTATAATAGTTTTCTTAGTATTTCGGTAGTTACATATAAAATCAAAACGTAGTTTTATAATTTCTGCAGGTTTTATTTTAAGTATTATGTAGTATTAAATATTACGTAACATATATTATCTAAATGCATACTGTACTGTACCTAAATCATAAATGCATACGAGTATAAAAGGCTGACATAGATTTTACAAAGTTTTAATATTGGTTTTAGTAATTAAATTAATTATATTACAAATTTATTTATAGATTATTACATACTGAAATATACTTGTATAGAATTGTATTAAAATAAAGAAAGACAAAGAGGAAAAAAATCACTAGTTAACAGATGTCGTGTTTGCTTTGAAGCAAAGTCGAATCGTGTTTGCTTAAGCGTCCACTAGAAAATTAACAAGCTTAGCTTCGATGAATGCCAGCGGCTGGGACAAGAAAGATTTAGCGGTTTGTAAACGTATTTGCATATGCAAATGTTAACCATTCTGTAAGAATGAGGACAGAACTGTTAAACAACAGTAATCGAGGCACGGAAACGTGTGTATTTATTCATCTAAAAAGTAATGCCAACAAAATGATAATTTGAAAAATATGTAAATATAGAGAAAATATTAGCTTAATCCGATTTCAATTCTATATTAGAAATTGAACATATAATTTTAAAAATTTAATGCGCGTACGTACGAAAATAAGTGATACGGAGTCTGTGTTAACTATGCGTGCAAATGAAAAAAATCTACGTGCAAGTTTATTATATAATTATATATGATAAANACTAGTTTCAACTAGACAAAACGGGTTATAACAAAGACATTCAGTATAAACTAGTTTCAACTAGTTAAAACGCGTTCTAACTAAAAACGGGTTTTGACTGTAACATATATAATAAATTTGCACGTAGATTTTTATAACAAGATGATACAAAATATACCTTCATACATGATACTTTTTGTTTGCATATATATACGAAGACACTGATATTAATTACCTATTTGAAGATCTTAAATAATTTATAACGGATGGTTATATTCAAAACCTTTATTATTAATTAAGATGTGAGTTTATGGAGGAAATTTTATAATGGAAATTATATTTTGATACAGTATTACGATCTATTAATTATATATTATAACTGATAATATAAAGTTATATTAAATATATTTAATATTTTACTAGTTACACTAAGATTTTTTAAAATATGTTTTTGGGTTTGCTTTATGGCAGAGAACCTTAAGGATTATATAGTGGCTTCATATTCTTTATCGTTCAAATCGGGGCAGTTATTCAAAATGAATGTAAAAAATTAGTCTAAGAATGGCTAAATTTAGATTATTTTTAAAAATTATTTATCTATTGATTTATAAATTCGTTATATTGCATTATAAGATCTATAAAATGGTTCTACTTAAAATTTTATTCTATTTTTGGGCGTTAGAAAGAGGAGTAATTCGGGAAATGTCTTGGACAAATCCGAACGTATAGTCATCCTATAAAGATAGAATCTATAAATCTATAGATTCTGAAAAATTATTTTTTGAAAATATGTTGATAATATATTTTACTTTAAAATACATCATTTCACTTCCGTCTGTTTAATTTAACGTAAACGATCGAAAAAATTAATATTCATAGATTCGACAACGTTAACAACGGGGATCGTGTAAATTTAAACACGAATTCTCGAATGTCGTTTACAACATTTTTGGTTAGATATCATGCAATTGTGAAACACTTCACAACAATTTTCACTTAGCTATCATGATTGCAATTCACATTTCAACGCATTAAAAACTAGATATCAATGCAAGCATTAAATAAGCCTGTCAACGTTTTACGATTGCAATCAAACACTTTTCATTCGTACTATATGACAAAGACCAACTGATATACTTTACTTTTAAACTAAGTATTATAACTAATTCCTTGCAAGTGGAGATTATTAAAACCGCGAGCATATTTATAAATTTAACTTTTATTCCCAAAATAATATGTAATTAGTAACTTAAATTTATTAAAGCGACATTAAAATATACCTATAGTTCGCATTACACGAGACTTTAACACTCACTAAACGTAGGGTAAACATTGGTAATTTCGTGATACTTTTTAAATTCATCTTCATCAAATAAATAATGTAAGATGAGATTTGAAATTTTGTTTGCAGATAGCGTGTAATATATTAAATTTGAAAATTTGTTCGTTTGAGTAAACTGTCATTTTATAACTTAGCAAAACGATCTATTGTAAGAAGAAAACTGGAAATTTGTAGAAGTGTTTTAGGAGACTAGTTTTATATTAAATTTACAAACATATTGATGGTAAGTGAATTATTTTTTGATATTTCAATAAACTAAGAACTGAAGATATATTTAAACACGCGGTTATTATTATTTTTTAAATTTATTGTGAGTTTAAATTTCTTTAGCTGTTTGAACAACATTCTTAGCTTTCGCTGTGAAATTCTATACATATTAAACACAAGGACTATTTAATAATTAATTATTGTCGATTAGAGAAGTAAAATAATATGATGTATAACTTACAGATAATGTTAGTTGAGTAGGCTATCAGCCATACTTTTTAAATCCAAAATGAGATAGGACAAAATAACCAATATATCACGAAATTACTATTCGAGATGCCATCAAAATATCGTCAGTGTGAAAAAGATAATTTTTTTAAAGTCGCA